GGGTGTAACTGAAATGCGCAATACACTGCAATACAGCGCAACACAGCGCAATACACTTGATAACACAAGTCCAGTTGCAAGTAAACACAGGAAAGGGTAATCTCAAATAAAATAGGGCGATATAAAAGCTAAATATAGTGCACAGTAATTAATATTGCTGATTCAACTTGACAATTTTTTCATTGTTTGGTCAGTCGCCATGTTGGCGAGTAGCTCTTCTTGGCCAGTAATATATCCAAGAAGAGCCACTCGCCACCATGGCTGCCAACCGGACAATATAAAAGTCTTGCTGATTTGTTAAGTTATATCAACGATATTACTTACCTAGCAATATAGGTTGTTTTTATATCACCCTGCTTTGCTGGGAATGGTAATTTCTTTTGTGCAATTGCAACTGGATTTAATTTTTGAAGTGTATTGCACTGTGTTGCGCTGTATTGCGGTGTATTGCGTATTTCAGTCATACCGGATAAAGACTGGGCTCAGGATATCAAGAAATTTTTAATTTACATTATTTATGAAATTGATAAAATTTCTAATTCATTATCACTGAAAAACTGAAAATTATAGTACTTTGGACATTAGAAAAATTTATGCAATGTTGTTATGTAATGAATAATTCTTAACAAATATTGATGTAATGAGATGAAATAAACATTTATAAAAATTGCTGTGAACCAAGAGAACATTTAATATAGTTTTAAATATTTACAAAAATTTACAGTTAATTATATTTTATGAAATTCAATGAATTTGACAAACACGAACCATAAGTATCATCAACACTATAAACACAGGGGACAATATTTCTGAATATAACAACATAGTCTCTCCAGCAAATCTTTTGCACAGTAATATCTGCGTCACAAATATATTGATGATAACAACTGAAGAAGATAACAGTCTCACTGCAGCCGACCTTATGTCCATGGATTTATACATTCTGATGAATACAATAACACAAAAGTAACCATTCATTCCATCGGCTGCATATAATGGGACAAATACATGCCACCATGTGATATCAACCGCATTCTCTTGCTTCAGTACCAGCAGTAGGGAAAATATTAGTAAGGCCACTAAGTTGGTCAGTATTTCGCAGGTGGTCATCCCAAACCACAAGGCCAGTTCTTTCAGTGTGAAAAACATGATGTATGTTGTGCTTCTGGCTGACGTAGATCCGTCTCTTGGAAAACGCCACCATTCCATACAGTTAAATAAATAACGAGAAGGATATGATCCCCAAAGTGGCGACTATAACAACTCCTCTGAAGTATTCAGTAATATCTTAATGCCATGGCTGATTGAAGTGCAATGCAAGGCATAACTTTATGATCACAGCAATCAAAATGAAAAATGACCAGTAAGTTTTGCAGGGATTTCCAATATTCTTTGTGCAAAAATTTAAGTCGTTGATGTCCTTCTCTTGGACTAAACCGAGATTATCCAACAGCGTATTCAGTGACTGTCCTGTAAATCTTTCTTCACTTGGGTAGTGTTACACAGATATTACCTTCTTGAAAATTTTTCCTTCCTTTAATTCATAGACCCTGCTGGACCTGAAATTAAGAAATAAAGAGTAATAACTTCCATTCAATGCTAGTTGTAGACTACGTTAAAATTAAAATGACTAACAGGAAAAGATCAACAAATTTTTAGTTCAAAATCAAACTCTTTTAAAATTCGTAAAGACGACTGCATATTAAATTTTTATATGCTCAGAGTAATGTTACCGCTATGCTGACAGACACTTATACCGAAAAGCACAAACGCTTTGGCTGCTTACTTGATTTGGTTTTGTGCAGTTAATAATTTCCTATTTAGATTGTTTTTGTGCAGGCCAAATTATATGATTATTTCCTTGAATTAAGGGTATTCCGACTGCACTTAAGATGATATATATTGTATCAAATTTAAGTTTCTTGCGATAAAATTTAATTACAATGAATGTTTTTTTTACATTTTTATTATGCTTTATGTATCTTTATGTGATTTTCTCGGTAAAACTTGAGTTTGCAGCAACAACTAATAATTGGCGAACTAGTCATCTTGTTAGCATCCCACAATGCATTGCTTATTCAAAACTTCCGGATTTCCCATGTGAGATGAAGGAAAACCAGATTTTAAGAAACCGCTGAGTTAGTGTGCTTATTTAATGCTCTTAAATGACCAGTTTATGCTAGAGCAAACAGGATGTACTGAATCTGTTCTCTTCTCATGTATTTTGTACCCTAAGGGTATTTCTAAGCGACAAACTATAGACTATAGAGTCGATCATTTATAATTATTTGTAAGTAAACCATTTATAAAATTGAATTTTCACTTGATTCAGAGAAAGCAATGCTTTATACCTTTTATAATCCCACACGTTACAAGTGACGATTTCCTTTTTTTAATTCACAAAAAGTGAATCAAGTATGTATAATATATGTCAATAATGAGAAGTTCATGGAACCTGCTGTGCTCTCAACTAATGAACTATTTCCATTCATTCATTCATACTGAGTACTCAGATCTCACCCCTAAATGGGAAATTTGCACTACAGTGGAATAACAATATAATCTTTGTCTCTACATACTTTAACTGACTGACTCATTGTTTTCTGTTACTTTTCAGACCAATCTTACTTTATGCCAGTGAAACTTCGGGAGTTTTGGAAAACTATTAGTCTTATTGATAAAATCACTAAAACAGAGACTGTCTGATTATTTTTCAATAGTGTTATCAGAAACTCACCACAGCTGTTGGTGAACTATGGAGGAAAGTCATAAGCTTCTTGTGCTATATGGCAGCCAGACAGGGACAGCTCAGGATGTGGCTGAGAGAGTGGGCAGGGAGGGAAAGAGGAGATGGTTCTCTGTGCAAGTTATGGCACTGGATGATTACAATGTGGTAAGTGTGTGTGTGTGTGTGTGTGTGTGTGTGTGTGTGTGTGTGTGTGTGTGTGTGTGTGTGTGTGTGCAAGCTCCTAATTAAGTGGTAAAGGAAATTCTTGGTATACAGACATTCAGAAGAAATAATTCAAAATTATTTATCATTATTTATCAATTTTTATCTATTTATCTATCATTGTATTTATTTTCTAAAGGATACTGAAACGAGTTTCATTAGTCCCACTTTGGTTACTATACTTATCAACTATCCTAACCTCTTAAAAAATCATTTATTTTGTCTTCATGACAAACTTTCTTTTTATACACCATGTTTCTATATGTTTCTGTCAGGCTAAGCTGATAGAAGAGGGTCTTGTGGTACTGGTATGTGCCACCACTGGACAAGGTGACACCCCAGATAACATGAAGGTAAATTGTGAAATACTGTTATATATTTAACTATCTTGAAATATATCCAGGATTGTTTCTTATAGTTAACTAAAAAATTTTTCCCCTCTCACTGTTAATCAATTGAATTTTTCCTCGTGAAGGTTTAATTTGATTCACTCTCGTGTAATAATTCTGAAATGTAGTCGGGTTTTTGGTCTATTCTCTAGACCTTGGTCAAACCGTTGTGAGTTTAGTGTCACTGAAGACACCTAGCTTACTTTTTATGCACAGATACATCAGCTTTTTAAATAAAGGTATGACATGCTGTTTAAATTATTTTATGTGTCTTATGTGGAATTCTTATGTGATAACTTCCTGTTCATATTCAGATGTTCTGGCGGTTCATCATGAGGAAAAATTTGCCAGGAAATTCCTTGTCTAATGTCAAGTATGGCACTATTGCTTTGGGAGACTCATCCTATCAAAAGTAGGATATAGCTTGTACATTTTCTTAGTTTACATTTAATGTAAGAGTTTTTTATTTGTTTGTTTTTTTATTCTTGAAAAAAATTGATATTATATGTCAATTAAAGGAACTTTTGGATATTGTGAAAATTTGATGTTTTCTGCTGCCATTTTGCAGCACCAGAGACAAATTAAGTCTGTAGATTTATACCAGCAAAAAATTGTTGTTGATGTTTTATATACTATTAAAATTTCCTTTGGTTTCTTCTTTCTCACAGATATAATGTTGTTGGAAAAAAGATTTTCAAGAGATTTGAGCAGTTGGGGGCCACAGCTGTCCTTCCTATCTGTCTTGGAGATGACCAGCATGAGTTGGGGCCTGATTCGGCCATTGACCCATGGCTGACCTCGTTTTGGGACAAGGCTCTAAAAATGTTTCCTTTACCTCCAGGAAAATCTGTAATTAGTGCTGATGTTCTGTGAGTGAAGTATTTGTTTTCATCTTACTGTCAAATGATGTTTTTTTTTGTTTCTGAAGCAATGTATATATATAAGCATTTTTTGTTAATTAAAAGGTAAAACCTCATTTCTGTTTTTACACTGTCTTTGGCAAATGTATAATGAATAAATTTATGTTGATAAGGTTTTATAAATGGTGATGATTGAAATGGTAAATTTTCATATTCTCCTCATGCTGTTTGATGAACACTGTCGAAACTCTCAACATATTTTAACAGCCTTGATTGACTCACTGTCCTGAAAACGTCTCATCATCGTAGATCAATGTATGCATTGATTAAGAATCTTTTGTTTCATTATTTTTCTTGATGTCATTTTAGACCCCCACCAAAGTATAAAGTCCAGTTTTTGAGTGATAACGATGACAAGAAGCAGATGACATGTCCGCCATCTTTCTTTGGTGGCAGTGAAACTAAAGAGTTGCCATCGCAGAAATGCCCATATCTGTCCAAGATGTTGTCCAACCAGAGAGTGACTGCAGATGACCACTGGCAGGACGTCAGGCTGATAACCTTTGATATAAGTGATTGTAATATAAAGTAAATACTTTTTACATTCTTGTTTTTTAGCAAAAAACAATGGGGTTGTAACAGCTGAGGATTAAAATTATTTCAAACAAATTTTACAAGAAAAACCACACTAAATACAATAAAAAGAATTGGAGTTTTAAGAAAGCTACATGTGTATGAACATAAAAGCAGAGGGTAAGAACTGTAACATTCTGTATGGTTGGGGCCCCATTTTAGATTCAGTATTGAACTTAGGATTTTGAACAACAAAAAAATTGAAGTTGTACAACTGTAACACATTAAACTGTTACATACTACCAAAATTCTTTGCTCAAAATTGAAATACTGTTACATACTTAATTTGAAGGCAAGATGGTTAAGTTTGTAGTTGGTTGAAAACAAACAAAATAGTACTACTACTACTACTACTACTACTATGACTACTACTACTAATAATAATAATACTAATAATGTGCACTCCGTCAGATATTCTCCTGGTGATGTATTGATGGTACAGCCAAGAAACATGACAGATGTAGTGGATGAATTTATACAGTATCTTAATTTAGACCCAAACAAACAGTTTGTACTGAAAGAGAATGACCCAGGTGAGACATTTTCATTTAAATTTGTAAAAACAAAAAAAAAAAAAAAAAAAAAAAATTGATTGAAACTTGGACCAATGGATGTAAAGTTGGTTTTTCCATTTTAGACTGCTTCTTCAGTGTCCTCTATTTTTTTGGCAATTTAGAAAGCTTGGTGAAACCTATACAATTTGGTTATAAAAGCCTCTAGTTCAACTCATTTAGATCATTAATGCATTATTAAGTAAAAAAAAAAATCAATGTGACTTTTAGCAAAAGACCAGTTGCCTCATTTTTAATAATAAGACTGTTCATTTTGATAAAGTTGCACTGTTATGTCTTATTCATAGTCACACATTCATAGTTTACTTCCCATTTTGCCAAAATTGACTGTAATCTTTAATGCTATATGTAAAACTTTAAACAATTTTTTTTTGTTTCAAGACGTTCCACTGCCAAATGATCTGCCGCAACCCTGCACAGTACGCCATCTAGTGGAAAATTATCTTGACATTGCTGGAGTGCCTAGAAGGTATTTCTTTGAATTGATGCACCTCTTAGCAAAGGACAATCTAGAAAAAGAAAAACTGGGTGAATTTGCCACTGCAGAGGGACAGGTAACTCATCATTGATTAATTTTTAATTAAAAAAAACAAAAAAATTATAATTTATTGTTGGTGCTCACACCTCAAAACAACCATTACACATGATTGCTATAACAGCAACAAGAACTACACTTATACATAGTTATTCAGCTAAATGTGAACCTTAGAAGAATAATACTCATGCACTACACATAAAAGTAAACATTTCAGCAAGAACCCATATTTTTTGTAGAAATTATGAGTATTTTAGCAAGAACCTCACCCATATTTTATAAAAATTTAATATTTCTGCAAAAACCTTACCAATATATTACAGACGATTGAAAACATTTCAGCAAGAGCTGTATTCGTATTGCAATCGACCAAGAAGAACGACCCTGGAGGTGCTGCAGGATTTCCCCCACACAGGACCCATGGTGCCATTTGAGTATCTGTTTGACCTCATCCCACCTCTGCTACCCAGAGCTTTCTCCATTGCTTCTTCTCAGATGGTAGGTATGAGCTGATATCTTTTCCCCTATTTTATTATTCAATTTTTGATCTGAACTAAAAAAATTATAGTCACTGTTTGCTGTTTTTTTCCTTATGTAATATTTATTTCTGAGAATGGTTGCTGGATATTGAAAGTCCGGTATTACTAGTGTAGATTTACAATATAATTGTGTGAGAGAAAAAAGATTAATTTATTGTTTTATATCTGATGAAGAAAAAATTTTTCTTGGATTTTGCATTTCTGTTTTGTTAATAGTTATATTTGCTACTTGGAACTTTTTATTTGACAGGTCAATCCCAACCAAGTACAAATACTAATGGCAGTTGTAAAATATAAAACAATTATTAAGAAACCAAGGCGAGGAGTATGCTCTACATGGCTAGCCAGTGTAGACCCACAGGAAGAGCCTGATATAAGAATACCCATATGGGTGAAGCGTGGGACCATAGCATTTCCGCAGAAAGATGACCCACCAGTGATAATGATAGGGCCAGGAACAGGCGTGGCTCCTTTTCGAAATTATATTCAGGACAGAGTTATGAGGAATGTCGGAGGTAAGAGAGTTTTACAGTGTTTATTATAAATAAAGGGAGACTGAGGGGAGAGGTTGAGGGTGGGGGGTGAAAAAGACATTACCAAGTCGAAACTTGGCCTTGATGATGGCTTATTAGTTCATTTTGAGTTAATTAATAAGCAGAAATAGGCTTCGTGGTAGGGGTGAGGTTGCCAAAATATTTTTATATATATTTAAAAGTATTTATTACGTTAAATTCCAATGCCCATTCCATTTAATATTATAAGACCACCCTTCTAGCTCAATGCTGTGTCCATTTCAAAAAAGAATCTCATGTCTATAAAATGTTTTATATTTTCCAGGCAATTATTTGTTCTTTGGCTGTAGGAATGAAGCCAAGGATTTCTACTGTGCTGAAGAGTGGCAGGAATATGTGAACAGAGGCTTCCTGCAGTTGTTTACAGCTTTCTCTAGGGATCAGGTAGCAACACGAGTCTGTTATCATCATCTTGTGTAAAGTTCATTGTAACTTTTGTGCACAGTCTTATTTTGTCCAATTTACAATACATTTGTTTTCTCTGTTTTGATAAGGTAGGTCCTGGATGTCAAAATTCTGCTAATATGACCCTTATTGCCTCGTAATACAAAATGTGGCTTTACTTTCACAGAGTGACCAATGTGACTTGTGTAATCTTTCTCCTCCTAGTTTTTTATCTTTAGATAAGAAATTTTATTTTCAGGAAGACAAGGTTTATGTTCACCACAGAATGTTGGAGCAGAAGAAGTTGTTGTGGGAACTTATTGATAAGAAGGGAGCATATGTCTACATTGCTGGGTAAGTGGAGATTTGCCCGAGTTCAGTCAGTGAGAAAGTCAAGAAAAACTGTGAAAAAAAATCTTTTCAATGCACTGTTTATGTATTCATAATGGTGTTTGCCTTAAGACATGAAGTAAAATACGATAATATAAAGTAAGAAATGTTCATGATAAATATGCATCAGCAAAGGCTTACTACAATCACAGTGGCAGTGGTGCATTCAATTACAGTAAACTATATTATAAATTATTGTATTTTTCTCTTTTTTAGCAATGCAAAACAGATGCCGGATGATGTAAAAGGAGCTTTAAAGACCACCATCATGGTAGAGGGTGCTATGTCAGAAGACAAGGCAGAACAGTATATAAGACAAATGGAGAAAACTAGGCATTATCAAGTAGAAACATGGTCTTGATGATAGCTGAAGTTCATTTTAAATTAAGAATTAGCTTTTCATGACATCAACACCATGAGAAATTATGTAAGTGTTTTTAATTGTAATGTACTATTAGTTGGAGATATGCAAAGATATGTGAGAGAATTTCATTTGAAAAGAAGTACTGTCATAACTTGGTCTTAACAAAAATACATACTACAACATTCTGAATTGTTTGGTTTAGTGAGTTTGCTAATGGTTTATAACAAGAACAAAGATACACAAGTTATGAATTGGATTTACAGTCACATATTATTATTTCACCATGAACAAGTTGCTCAGTTGGCTAAAGTACTGTGAAAAGAACCTTGTATTTCAAAGCTGTGAAGATTGTCATTTGTAACTTCAACACAGCAAATTCAAATAAACTTCGCAATATACATTCAACAGATTTTTTCAGACTGAAAAAAAAAACATGTTCTGTAAATTACACTCAACTCACTGGACAAGAAAAATAAAACGGGAGTCAAGGCTTTAAATGTCTATAAGTACTTGTAACATTTATTTCATTGTTAAATATGTTTCACTGGTATGGGAACACTATGCGCATACAGTTCAGTTAAGGATTCTTTATACAACATGTACAACTCATAACTGATATGTCACCTCACAGACAAAGCGCCAGAGATACAGTGAATAATTATCACAATATCAATTCAATTGTATTTTTGCACTGAAATTCTACCATGTGCACAGAATGAGAAGAAAACTGCAGAGTGGACTAGAGGTACAAAATCTCAATATATTTGCACTAAAAAAACTGTTAACTGAAGAGGAGAATGAGAAGATCAAAGCTTGACAAAAAAGTTCAAAACCATAAACTCAAACAATTACATGCTATTAAATTAGAACATCTACATATTAAAGGGATAATAACTCTTTGTTTTGGCCAAAAAATGAATTTCCTGGAGTAAAAAAAAAATTTCCCATACTTACCAATGGTTAATTAATCCATTTTTACATTCAAAGTTAGTCCCTGGTTTTTTTTTTCTAAAAATTTTGTTTAACAAGAGAGAGTATAACAAAGTATTGCCATCAATGGAGGTCACGTGGTCTGAAGACAAGTTCAGTTATCAGAATAATAGCCATAACTGCCGTCTTTGTGGTACAACAGAATATATTATATTTTATGAGTTGTTCACAATGTTAGAGTTGTTATCCCTTTAACCAAAATAGCCAAACATCCAAGTATAAGAGACAGTTGGCTAATTATAAGTGCGGCAAGAGAATGTGCCTCCTTCGTTCTTGCTATTCCTTAAAACAATTCAGTCAATATGTTGATATTCTACATATATACAGCGGTTACTAGCCATGGTGGCAAGCTAATTGTCTATGGAAATTAACAATTAGTTTAGATAACAATATCTTATAATAACTAACCCCAAGTAGTTGTTACACAGTCACAATTTATTTTAATACTTGTAGCACCAAAAGCAATGGGAAAATGTAAGTAGATAGACATTACATCATATTTATTATCCTACAGAATAGGATAGCAAGCTATTCAAACAGGGAGGGTTGGGCACTCTAATTTTCACAACCAAATCAATACACTACTGTTCCCAGATGTAATAATAATAATTGCACATATATTTACATTATAAATAGCATTATACCCTTCTTGAAATGACTGAATGAAAAAAATCAAGCATTGGATTTTTAGTTTTTTCCTTTGCATGGGGAGGGGAGGGGGCAAAAAATAGCAATGTTTTGCCCAACTCAAAACTGCAAACTTTATCTCAAACATTCAACAAGAGAAAGCAGGTGTATGTACAGGGTGGGGGAAGGGGGGGGGGGGAGAGGAGGAAGAGACAGAGAAGTCACCCTATTGTCCATAATATAACCCTCAAAATATGCAGTCTTGGGCAAAATTACCTTGCCAAGATGTACAGGAAACCAGATACAGACAAATGTGTAAACACGCAGCAATCCAATGAATAATAGTTTAAATACTAGCATTTGACAATAGTAGTGCTGCAGGCTAAAAAAAAAGTTCAGGAAGTCCAAATAAATGATGTACTTAACCTCCTTGAAATACAATTGTGCTTGCTTTGAAAGACATGAAAATATTCGGCCTTTCAAAAACTTTATAAATGCACCAGTGCACAGATTATTTTTAAGCTCTCTCTCCCTCTCTCTCTCTCTCACACACACACACAGTGTTCTATTGCACAAGTATACTTCCATCGTGACACAACATCACAACACAGGCAGTAAGGAGTGCACTATCACCCATCAACACCATAATGACTTCCATCTGAAAGTACGTTGTACACTGCATGGCTGAAAATATCTTTGGATTTTAATCTCAATTTATACCAGGTGTAGTTAAAGAAAAGAAAGTCTCCATCAAATTACACAGCATTTTCACAAGTAGGTTGCTGCTGTCGTTAACTAATACATGAAGCATTAGCAAGCAGACTGCTATTACTGCGACCATGGAACTATACACAAATCCAATTCTTAAAATGAGAAGTTCTTGAATGTATGCAAGAGTGCCAGTCAAAATCATCTCATTTTTTTTAAAAACATCAATAACAATGTCAACACTAGTTATGTACAGCATACGAGTCACATTTTCAGCAATGAAACTACATCTGGCATGTTCTAATGTAGTGATCCTCTGCCTACAAGCATGGTATTTACTAACATAGTAAATCAACAACGCACAAAAAATCTATAGATGTAAAAGTGACATTCTTTTAGTTAAATTGTCTGTGTCAATAACAATACTTTGTCCACACACACTGGTGACTGACTACGACTCGTAACAGTTGAGCTATATATGCCATAAATACAATTTCACACTGAGAAGAAATTGACACACATAAAAATCTGTTGCCCGAATGACAGTTTGGCACATATCAACAGATTCAGCCACTAGCTTTCTTTCCGATTACAGAAAGGTAGTGGAATTGGAATTTCTTCCTATTAAGTCAAACTTCCCATTGTCCTATTGGTCTCTATAGCAACAATTTATTGTGTGTTATGTGAACTCTGACCCACTTAAACTAGAGACTAAATTTTCTTTTTAAGTCATGCTCTCTTTCCGTTCCTTATTCTCTCTTTCTTTTTCCTTGTGATCCTTGCTATCCCTCTCTTTAGGATCTCGTTTTGCCGCCGCTTCTTTTATTGAGTTAAACGTCTTCTGAAACCAAGTATTCTTTGAGGCTTGTAACTCTGTTAAAGCTGCGTTAAGCTGATGCGTTAAGTCCTGTGTCTTGCACTCGGATTCAACAAGTGCTAGCTTCGTTTGTGCCAGCTCCAGTTCGAGCTCCCGAATCTGCTTGGTTGCATCCAACACTTGGTTTGGGTCCGCACCATCGGAAATGGTCATCGAAGTATCCATCGATTTCAACTGGGTATCCGTGTTAGCGAGCTTTGTGCACCGATCACAGCCAGAAATCACTTCCTGTGACGGATAAATGAGAGAAAGTCAATTGTGTTAAATGAATTTTCAATTGCAATGAGGTAAGTAAATTAAGTTTCAAGGAGAACGCTTCTAATCCTCACAGATTTTCTGCACTCTTCATTTACATGCAGCAATTACTTCCCAGCTAGAACAATTTTAGCTAGGGTAAAATATCTTTATGCATACAGAAGTAAAAATCTGGTCAATAGAAGTGAATTACTGTATAAATTTATTAACTAAAATTTAACATTCAAATTAAAAATTTTAATGGTGTTAGTATGAAGCTATCATGTTAACTTTTCATTATTACCTTGATTTTGGCCAGATCTATCTTACTGGCAGATGCCTGCTTCTCTAAGCGCTCACTCAACTGGGTGCAGATCTACAGGGAAATGGTAAAAATCTTATACATTATTATTGCAAAATAAAATGTTTAAAACAGGATGCAGATCGTTTTAAGATTCATTACTTTACAAATAAGTATAAATTCATATGACCTTGTTTAGTGTTTCAATTACAAATTATATTGTGCAGGAATAATTTTCCTCTTTATAGTAACTGTTACATAATGAAATACTACAAAATTTAATCAAAGGGCAATGGAGGCAATCTTTCTTTTCAAAACAAAAATATTTTTGTGAGAGATAAAAATCCCTTTTTAATGGTATAATTTGTGCCTATAATTGCAGTCTTGACCTTTAAATACAAAATTGATTGAATATCACAAAAACAATGAATATAAACCGAATTAGCCTGTAAGTTTACAATGGCATTTATCACTGACATGTACCTGCTTGTACTCTGCAATAATGGCGTTATTTCTGCTGCTCTCCTGGTCCAGCTTTTCCAGCTCTCTCCTGCACATGTCCTTCAACTAAGTAAAGCAAGGCATAATTATGGTTTTTGTCAAATGGAAGGCAGGATCACTGTACAGTATTATATGTAAGTTTTTACATTTGATTGTGTAATACAAAGACAAAAGGGTTATATATTTATTTTTTTCTGATATATTTATGTATAAAAATACATTTCACATATGCATAACACAGCATGTTAAGTCCCCTCTCTCTCTCTCTCACTCTCTCTCTCTCTCTCTCTCTCTCAAATCACCATCTTCACCATCACTCTCACCGTGTACTCCCACCAAGTGATAATCAGTAAAATCCAATATAATCACCTGTGCTGATTCTGTCTCCAATCTCTTCTTTTCCTCCTCCAGCTCCACCAGATCAGTCTTGGTTGACAGCAGTTCCTTTGCCAGGGCATCTGCTTTATCTTCAGACTAAATGAAATGAAGTAAAAAACTGAATTACAATTCAAATATAACATAAAAAAATGATAGTCACAAAGTGAACTATTCTATGATTTCCCAATAATGTAATAAGTAACAAACATTTTGCTCAAGTAGAAAGACAAAGTAATGAGTCTAAAGCTGATTTTAACAAGATGATTTCAACTAGCTGAAAAAAAAAGAACCTGCAATTGTATCTAATATCAGGAAAGCTTTATTCTGAGATGGGTAATTGAGTGAAGTGTAATTTGATGCAGTGGAACACATCACTTTGGCATTATCCTGGTTTTGCCATGCAGAAATCAAAGCAATCATATTAGAAAGTGGCACAGTTGGTCTGCAGGCATCAATTTGTTTCCAACAACTTAGGCCCCATTCCCATAGACACAATCGGTCTACGTGGATCGACCCAACTCTGCAGGGACTCTCGTTGACTGCAGTCAGCTTAATTGAATGACACAGCACCTCCTGGGCTTAAGTAGAATACAGAAAAGCTGGTGATTATACGAGTACGTTGGAAACAAGGAGGCCTGGCATTTAGTTAAGCTGATTGCACTTAGCCAGGGTTCCAGCAGAGTTGGATCGATTCCACGCAAACCAATGGTGTCCCTGGGAATGGGGTCTTATACAAATGAGGGATGATTGCAGCCTTACCAGAGTTAAGTTAAATACATATTTATATAGTTGTTAGTGGAAGCAAAACGGTATATGGCAGTTTTAAATAAAATGCCAAGAAGAACACAGCTTGAAATATACTTTGTTTCACAAAACATCAATTTGAATGACTACTCCCACAATTGCAGATACACATGCAATACACTCATTTTTACACAAGTCTACCTGCTAATTCAAACAACAAATGTGCTGAAAGATCAAGAAAACTAACACTGCATCAATATTAACAGCACAGGTGCTATGGGCATCTATCCTATTACGCAAATAAAGCATTCTTCTATCCTGAAAAAATATCTAACACTGCTGATTTATTAAATCTAAAAAAGCATGCATGCACCCATTTGCACAAAACTACCAAGCTAATATACATGCAAATGCTGCCTACACTAAGTAGCGGACTCCTTTGCACTGGCTTTAATTTAAAACGACTTTTCTTTACCACCCCTAAGAAGAGTCCTAAGGGAGCATTTGCAGGTCTTGATAAGAATTTTGTAAAATGTATCAACCCCCCTTCTTCAAAACACACACACACACACATTATCAAGCATGAGGGTATACAAATGCCTCGGTGTCTGATGCATAATATGGCGTCCTTCAGTAGTCTACATCCATTTGTGACCTTTTAACAGCTGAACAGGTGACAAAGGCAAATTGCTCCCAACATTAAATCTAATGGCCTGAAACTGAACGTGTTAACTGTGTTCAAAGGCTAATTCTGCGTAGCTGCGACAGTAAGCTCATATTAAAACCAGCATACGGATATATATCCATGGTTATGGGAGATTTTACCCATTTGCAGTTTATCATCAAAGAAATGCATACAGCATTTATTAAAGGGGGAAGTGGGTGTATGTTGAATATGAGTAAGAAAAAAAATCTAATAACCCATATTCCATGTTGCTACCAGCTTCTACATTAAAACCCATATAACACATCTATGACAGCGTGTGAACTAGGTAACAAACAAAAACTGACAAAACAAACTGGCATTATCAAAATGTATCCCTGACAAAAATGTCAAAAACATGAAAAACACAACCTCTAGTTCCACTTAAAAACAAATAATTCAAGCAAAACATGAAAATCCAAAGCACAGCAGACGGCACATCAAAATGGGAAAACACTGCCATCCAGCCTACCTCAAAGGTCCTAGCTTCCATCTGATAAAAAGAGGGAAAGGGAAGAACAATTCAGGAAAATATCATTGATAAGCAGGTAAGAGAATTACAAAAGCTTTTGCAGGGATTAATGTTATGCATTTTCAATGAAAAGGACAATGGATTTCTGTGATTTGGGGGATTATACCAAGCAAAACATCTTTTTAGATTAAAAACAAGCCAGTACTATCGATTCAACAAGTCGTTAAAATATCCCAAGGGAAATTAATACATAATATGCATATTTAGCAGGATAGTATACAGATAATAAAAGGTTAAAGAAAAGGATAAATAATTGTCCAAAGACATATTTGAAAAAATCAAGGGTAAAAACTTTATTAATTTTATACAACTGAAACTACGTTTATAAGGACGTTAGACTATCTAATTATCATTAGTAAGCTCTCACATTAATGAGTAAATATTTAAAACTAATGAAAATATACAGTTATATACCATACTGCATAAAGAAAGTTCAGCTCCATATTCACAAGTTAATTTTATGTATAGTAAGGTCTATGTGTAATAGTGATATGATGACCACTTACAGCATCCAGGTCACTCCGGAGCTGTATCTTACTGGTCACTAGCTCATGGGCCAGGTCATCGTTCTCCTGCTCCAGCCTCATGTTGGCTTCCATCAGACGCTTGTTCTCACGCTGGAATGGACAAAAAAGAAGATGTGGTTGTTCAGAGTGAAAACAAAACACACATGAACTGTGCAGACCTCCTGATTCTTTTTTTTTTCTTCTACAGATATTTCGTTTGTCAATTTGAATGTAACTAACCTGGTACATTTCTGTGATATTTTAGAAAAATGTTTTTTTTTTACTTAGAAATAGAAATTAGGTCAAAAGGACATGAAAGAGCCTCATATTCACTAATATCAAAAGGATTAAAGAGCGACAATGAGGCATCAAAAAGATGCACTTTTCCAATGATGAGGCATTTCTCCTCAACATCTTGTTCATTGTAAAAATATGCAAGATGTCTAGTGCGATTGAAACTACAGACTTATGAATATGAAGTTATTAGAGTAATTAGGGTGTTAGAGTAATTATCTAAACTGTACCTCATATCTCTCAATAGGGTCTTCCTGCTGCATTTGGGCTTCCTTGATGCTCATGTACTCCTTCTCATACTTTTTCAGCTTCTTGGAGCTTATCTGAAATGAAGAACCAAACACTAGTTAATTTTCAATTTTGATAAGTACATACTGTAAACCACCTACTTGATTCATAGTCCTTGATTTACTTGAAAGACAGCTAACCTGTAGTATCAGCCAACCTTTTAAAATTGCTGTCTTCTCTTAAAAGCTGCTGATTCTCAGACACCTTTGGCCCAACGACTTTATAATTTCCTTCAATCACAAGAACCTGCAGCAAACTAAAGCAGTCTCTCTGGCATTAAAAATCCCAATGTCAAGCTGATGGCCCACATTAATTTTGAACACATCCGTTATGTCATATTGATCAATACTCTTCTCTCTTTCCTGCTATAGATGGACTCCTTCTATCAACTTGGAAAGCATTGGAGCATTCTTAAAGCAAAACCTCAGCAAATGCAACCCTTTCAGCTAAGATTTCACACAGATTCACTCAATCACACTATCAAGGAAATTGTCAAGTAAGCAAACAGTCTGTTCAAAATAAACCTCGCATCTTTAAGTCAATTTTGAGTGTTCATGGTAATTTGCTTCACAGGAAATTAGCAAATAAAATGGTCAACTGGATCTTAACATTGAAAACACTGTCAATCTTACGTACCATGGCAGCATATATGTCTCTCACAGTTGGGAGAAAAAAGGGGGAATATCAGCAATAATAATTACAAGTTTACAGTTGTCACGGAATCAATTTCATCCTCAGTACTATGCAAAAGCAGCCTGACCAACAACATGTATGGTTGTTCATACAAGGTTCATCCATCTGCTACATGTGTTATCCCTTTGAAGTCTTAATTTTATGGGACACCATACAAACCGTACCTTAAGATAATTATCCCATAATACAGAATAAAGAATGTCCGTACCCGATTTATCCACCCTGACAGCAATCAATATAAAGCTGAATGATTGATAATTCGCAAAAATTCTTTTGACCAATATGTTATTCACACCATCTTTTACTTCATGTCCACCAATGGGTAATTATATGCTGACAAATTCTATTCTGCCAAATGTTCAATTGCTGGAATTAGCAAATATTGGAAATAGCCAGATTTTGCATATAGCTCTTGTTAAGTACTTAGCATCACTGACTTTCTTCTTTTAGCAATAATTAACTGACAAGTCTCAGCACGAGCTACTGCAGTAATTTTATTGCTGCGCATTCTGCATACTTTATGACAAACATAACTGAATCTTACCATTTTTCCTTTACTCTGTGTACCACCAACTAAGAGTGTTTTCAAACCTTCCATATGTTATCCTTGTCCCAAATTGGATTATTAAGACCTTACATGTGGGTGAATATGTTCATCTGCATAACGATTACAATACCATAGAATATAATTTCCCATATTATGGTTTTTATAGCTGAATTCATAAACCAGAGATGAATACTACCCTCATAGCTAAGCACATGAAAGGCATGGATTCTACCCTCATATTTCTTTCATCGTTTTTATACGATGAATAAAAGCCAGGTATACAATGTGCAGACATATTAAAATAGTAATTTTAGTTCAGGCATAATTTTCAGAACCTGGAAATTTTTGTTCCTATGAAATGTTTTCTTGATTCAATCTTCCATAGGGTACTAAAGCAAATTTAGCTTAGCTGCCACATTGGCAACCTTGGGCAACCATGTGTTCTATAAATAAATATACTATAATCAGTTCCAAAGACAATCCTTGCAATTAAACATTCAGATATTCTGTTAGGTATTCAGAATGATATAATGTCATCTCGAAATATTTTGTACATAACCTTTATTATGCACATTAAATGTCCCCTTTATTCTCATAAGTACGCAATTCCATCTGACTTGATAAAGAACACCGATAGAAAAATTCAGACTTCTTTGGAAATCAATAAAATTCAATTCCAAGGAAGCAGATCAGTAAGAAATACAAGACATTGAATGCTAAAACTTGTTATCAGAATCAAATTACTGAGTAAGTAAATGGGCCACAATGTGCCTTCCAACAATGAAGTTCATATTAATTATATTCCTATAGTATTTCAAGCGACATGTCAAACTAGGAGAACTATATCTATAATAAAATGCCCTCCATGATAACCAATTAACAGAAACAAATCATAGATAAAAGAATGTTATTTTACTTTCACTATAAGGGACACATAAAAATGAATTAACTATTCAAAAAGCTTTCTTAGTTGTCTTAAGAAATCAGACAGGGCTAGCATCATTAATGGAGACATTACCATTATGTTTTTATTCAATTGCAAAAATCTAATCATTTCTGCCATGGAAAGTGGTTCACTTTATGCTATGTTTAGCATAATGCCATAATTTTACAAACATGTGTATCTGCAAATGCCAAATTGGATTCACTTTGTCAGATGTATGGTTTACAAATGGCACAATGGCAGCATTACTGCCAATACGAGTTGATATATCTGCATTGAAACAAACACTAGAGAACAGTCAACTTGGCACAAGAGAAATCTGTCTAGACCTATCTTTGATCTATCATAATCAACAGGTCCCGATGGAAGCAAATTTCAAACTTAATATCTTCTGCTGGTGTTAAATACAAAGTCACTAATTACTTAGACCTCTAGGCCGACTATGGGGGTTGGAAGCTCGCTCTATAGCTCTTTATTATGTTTTTTAGCAATGGATCTTATTTGCCCTTTTATTTTAACAAATGAAGTAAAAATGAAACCTTCCATTATTACTACATTGCTTCAATTAATGCAAAGTAAAGGTACTAGCTGAACTCGCAGCTTAAACCTCCAGAGGTTGGTAGTTTACAGAAAGTGGCAATCCTTTATGAATGTGGTGAATTCACAAATAAAATTTCTAAAAAGCCACACGCCAGGCCGATAATCTAAAGCTAATTCTGATAGCCCATGGGACTGCTTTACAATCAGTCTTGTTTTGTGCTCAGACTTCATGGTAAAATCATAAAAACTGAATAGTGAACTTTGTTAAACTGAAGTTATAATACTAGTTTGAAAGCATTTTATATTAAGGGAATGAAGCACAATTAATGTTGTGATAATTAAATGCAATGTCCCTTAGCTATATTTCTACATCTAAATATCTGGCAAAACTACTCTATGACATCTTTTCCAATTCTGGCCTTAAAAATCATAAAACCTCACAAATTAAGGTGTCTAATATCAAAATTTCCTTCAGAAATGCATGGAGACAGATGGCAGACTATATGAATCGCTATTCCTTTGGAACTAAATAATACAATATTGTACAAAACACCAAACCAAAGTGCAGGACCAGGTCCAGCAATGATTTAAGATGCATGAAGATTTGTCGCTTACCTTCCAGCTCACAGCAGTGGTCAGCAGCTCGCGGGCATTCTCCTCCGATCTGTACTTCTTTGGCAGCTGGACCCGAAAATATTTGAGAATTCCTTCAAAGTCCAAGGCTAGCAGCTCCTTTCTGTTGCTCTGCAAATGGCAAGGAGTTAGGAAATGAACATTGATTAATTGTCAGGGAAGATAAAGTGCACTTCCCATCAACTGCTTATTAAACAATCTTGTCTGAACTTTTATTGCATGTGGAATTTTTAATGCACTCTATGTGTATAAACCTACTTATGAACCCCACATGTTCACTGACAAAACTATTGAATATATAAAATAATCTAGGATGAATTATTAATTAAATCATATTAAAACTACTGCATTCTTTACATTGGTTTCAATAATGCTCTTACTGAGCATCACAATAAAAATACATTAATATCATCTGAGATTATGACAATCTTAATTATTCAATTGTTGAGAAATTCAAAAGACATTAAGAGGTATATTGCTGCAGTATTACCACCAATCAATTCACCTTTGTCTTACCAGATGTCTAATCTAATAGGGCTTACAATACCTACTTGAAATTTCTACACAATCACATACAAAACTTATTCTATAGTGGCTGTTGTCTCTATGTTAACTTCCATGGGCTTCTACATTTATGTATAACCTAAAACCAGCAGCTATTAGCAAATCAAGGCACTCGTCTGTGTGTCATTACCACCAATCTAATGCACTCCTGGGATTTTCCAGTTCATCAGAAAAAAAAAAAATACTGACATACACGTACAATACCAAACCTTTGGTTATGCCTCGTTATCCCCAAGATAGGAGCAAACGTTTATCCCTATATCCTACAAGTGACGTAATCCTCACAGTTCTCAATTGTACAACTCCTTAGTGCAGTGATGAACAAGAACTGTTATGTGCACGGAAACAATGTGAACCCTGCACCTTAACTTAGCTAGTTGCAGTCTCTCCACTCCTCAGCCCTAGTAATCTTCACACTGTACAGAACTTGTCTACAAGCATCACCTAATCGAAACCCCCAAATGTACGATACATTTTAATACTTGCTTCCTTGCCCTCTAATGTTCTTCAGCATAATTACAAGACACATACATCTAGCCAGGCGGACAGGTCTACTTGGATACAGTACATTACTGTGGGGTAGGCAGAACCACACAGTTTAGAATCCCATCTCAAGTCCCCTAGAGAGTCGTCAAAATGTCAATAAATTTTCCCCACGCTAAGACTGGGAATGCTACACAGCTATCTTCAATCTCACTTCCACCTCTAATGGCACAAAAATGAGTCATTTGGCCGAAAAAATGTATATGTGGTGAAAATAATCAATCAACCATGAGTTGGATGATTGTTATATAATTGTGCCCAGTACTGTGGATAGGGAAGCAGGTCTGTAAGTGTGGCAGATCAATACTAAATGGCTATCTATGCAAAAAATTGCTCCTCGGTATATAGTTACAGGTGCCCCCAAATGTCAATGTCTGATATAATAGTATTATATATGAGGAAGTATTACACGGATAAAAAAATTCTATTTGTATTATATTTCACATCAAAATTTGTCAGTCTTTAACTATTAAGAATCATGAGGTATAACCTTGATGTTCAGAAGAATTTGCTAGATAATGTTCATACTTCACATCAAAACATATTTTGTCATTTCCCACATATACTTATATGTAATCAATGCCAATTTTCAGCCAAGCTTGAAAAAATATAGAGCTGGCACAGTTCACATAAAGCAAGAAGGATATATTCTCTTTAAGTGCAGACAGTACAAAAAATGAATAGATAATACATGATTCCTTCTTATTTTTTCCCCTTTTTTGTATCTTTTGAGACAGAGAAAATACCTTATCATGTCTGATACAAACTACATGAAACAGATCTGGCAGAAATATTTTTCATCCAACCAGTTAAGTGTATTGACAGGTCTTGTTGCTTTATCATTGATTTAAAAGTCACAATTCATTACACTAATTACACTAAGACTATCAATTTACACCAAATACAGCAAACAGAGCACTGTTTATTATATTCCTATTTTTTTCCACCACTACTTGTTTAAAGCTAAGATAATTCTTATCGACTTTTGCCATGGAAACAAAATTTCCTCAAAATACACAAGTTAGCTTGCAAATTAACTTATTGATTTATTCCTTAAATGCATTACTTACTTTCAACAGTGCCAGTGCCACATGGAAAATGGTATTCATGCCCTGAAAAAAAAAGGATAATTGGTAACTTTTTATTGTAACTGAGCACTTAACTGTAACTATGCACTATACATTTCAAACAAGAGTATTTATTTTTTTAACTTCACGTATCATTTTACAATTTTTAAGAGGATATCACAAATGAACATTCATTGCCTGTCAGATCACAATAAATGCTTATCTATCATTTTTATCCAAAATTACTTCCTTGGCCAAATCAATTATTTCTAAACAAGCAGAATGCAAGCAACTTCATAATATGTTTTAACTTCTAGTAAATTATTTTTAGCACTTGGCCAATTTTTCACATGAAAGCAAATGAAAGGGCTTCTGTTAACAATAATTTTGGGATCTTTGACAATTTTCAGGACGTACAAACAATGACAAAGAAATGAACCCCATTTTTACCACAGGGTCCAAATCTTCAAAACATAATAGAAATCCTGATACTCCTAAGGCTGCGTTCACAATAAATCTGTTGTACTAGCTAGTGCACACTTACTCCACAAGGACTCTCGTTGAATACAATCAGATTAACACGCCTCCTCCTGGCATTGAGTAGAACTTTGGAAACAAAAGGAAGCAGGTTAATCTGTTAATCGGCAACAGTCCTCGTGGAGTTAGTGCACACTACCTTGTACAATGGATTCAATGTGAACACACCCTTACTCATAATGTAATAAATAATGAAGACACAGCCCTCATTATTTCAAATGAAGTCCAAAATACCACCCAACTTCAAAATGTTTGGAAAAATTCCAAGATGACCAAGTTATATAAATATTCTGTGATATTCTGTGTGACCCACCTCACTGAGGAAGACATCCATGATGTGGAACACCATGAAGAGAGGGAACTTGGCAGTGAACAGTGTCAGGAACCACTGGGAGGCATACATGTGAGCCTCAAGCCTCAGCTCCATGAAGTGCTCATACAGGTCGGACAGTTGGTCCTGGAGGAGAGTGCAAAGGAAAATGTCAATGTGAGATGAAATTGCCTTTTAGTGAAAAAGTCGGAAAAATATGGAGTGGGGTCCAGGGGATCCCAAAAAATTGGAAGTCTGCCACTGGTTAGAAAAAGTCTCATCCCTGAATGTGGTTCTCTGATCAACAGTGGGTAAAAAACAGATAACGTTTAACCTGTAGGTCTAGTGATATGTTTAATGAAGATAATCATGGTGATGGAGAGAAAAAAATGTTTTAATACAGTCTGAATGTCCAAAATATCACTGCTTTTCTTACAAAAAGGGTTGTTTGTGAATATGTCTATAAAACCAATCAATATATATAAACTACTGAATCAAGTTGCCATACCTGCATAAGTCTTTCCAGCTGGTAGAATTTCAAGTGTAAGTCATCAAAACTGTTTTTGAACAGATCACGCAGGCCATAGTCAAACATTATCTTCACCAGTACAGCAAAGGCTTGCTCCTCTGGCATCTGAAATGAAGATTATTAGAATCAATTACTGCTGATCTCATTTATTCTTCAAAAATAGACTTTATAAATAGAAATTTAAACTATATGAACTGACGTTGTTTCAATCTGAGACATAATACTGGAGAACATAAAACAGAAGTTAAGGCTAGCAAAACTAGGGCTGATCTCCCGTTTGTAACTGAACACTAGATGTAGATACGTTATAACTTCACTGCATCATATTTCAATCAAATTCCATTTATGTATCAAAAGTATTTAAGAAAATATAACCAGTCAATTTGCATGATCTTGCAGTCTAAACTTACAATACAAGCAAAAATACATACATGTAAAACTAAACCAGCTGCTAGAAATGATAGTCCTTGACAGTAACCAATTTCTTCATCATACACAGAGTATGCCTGCAAAAGTAAAGTGAAGAAAATTCATATCATACAAGAAATGAAAGGTTTTTTTTTCCTTTTGCTCTTCTTAAATTTACTGCAACAACAGATCAAGTGTTAAACATTCAAATATCACTTAATCATGGTAAAGAAGTCAAAATAATTATTTTACCATGTGGTGCATAGTCTACAAAAACCCAATCATTACCTTACATATTACAAGGCATTTCTTACCTTGCTGATTTTATAGAGAGCATCCTGTCCCAGTCCTCCTGTTTCTCTAAAGTAGTCATGGGCCGGGAAGGTACGATTTATGTCCCTCATGATAACATCCTCACTCACGCTGTCCTAGAAACCAATACAGTACTTTTAAATAATACATCAAATCTAAAACAGACAGTAAAAGATATACTTCTAACAAATGGTCTATGTACTGTTTATAGTTTAAACACTAAAAATTACATAATTTAAAACATCACTTTCACATTAAAATGGGCCATTGGGAATACAGATCTGTTTTTCCGATTGACTTCATTTGCTCCTGCATTTAGCAGTGAAGCTCCGTCCATAATAAGTAAAACTTGTTTATATCCCCCACACATTTTTTCCTGACGAAAAAGTTTTTTTCAACAATTAATCTACATCCATATCCAAGACACAAACCTGCAATAGTCCACTGCAGTATTTCACATCCAACTGGCAAAGAAGCATGTCTTATATATGACCATACCTTAGTGATGAGTATCCTGAAGGCTTCAAACATGTCCTTGCTGTCCTGACATCCAGCCAGTAGCTGCCACACCTCTCCACGGAGGGCCTCGGGGATCCCCTTCCTGCACAGCTGATGGACCTGAAGAAAAACCCCAACCCTGCTTCAAAATTTTGGCAATTTATTTCATATTGCTTTGCAAGCTATTTGTTCTTCCTAAGAGGTGCTGGCTTGAGGCCGTTTTAGAGGATATACAGCTTCTAAATTAGGCATGGTAATAAGGCTCAACAGCAAAAAAAAAAAAATCAAACTGTTTGTATAGAACTTTTGACACACCAAACTATACCACTGTGCTAGATGAGGACAACAATTTAATGCAACAGTTATTCCACACTCTCAATTACAGAATCCAAGGGTGAGATTGCCATTTACTAAAAAGTTAGAAAATATGTTGTTTGGTCCGTTGGGCGGCCTAGGCCAATGATATTTATGGCTTCCCAAAAGTCAGAAATCCACCACTTGTCAGAAAAATCTCATCCCTGATCATGATCATCTTAATCAATTTATCAATTAAACAACTTGACTCTTTCCTGCCTTAAGCAAAGTTTTGTGCATACAAGTGTGGCATGGGGGGATAGAAGGGAAATGCACCTGTTTAGGCCTTAAAGCCAGATTCTGATGCCAGACTTTGAGGGTGTCGCCCCAAGCTTTCAGCAACTCTTCATCTGTAATCTCCTTGCTCACACTGCCTGACCCTGACATGATGGGCTCATCAGGATCTGGTAAAAAAAAAAAAAAAAAAAAGATTACAAAATTTGGCTAACATTACTAATAACATGACTCTGATGTCAAAATGTTATTTCACACATACATCCTTACGATATTGCTACATCACAATTACACATCATTTTTTTTTCAAAAAGTAATTATTTAATGGCAATATAATGATTCTTTTTAATGGAAGTGTTATTTTACATACCCAGATTCTTAAACGCAACTACATTACAAATTGACAATTTTTTTCAAATATTTCATGACATTTATCTTGATAATCCTTTCATGCCGAAGAACAGATATTATTGTTTAATATGTGCAGCTGAACTTAACTGATTTTATTATGATATAATGTATTCAACAGCAAATCAAAATATGAAGTTCTTGTGCATCTGGCAAAATTGTACTCACTCAGAAATCCCCAGAAAAAGAAGTTACTTTTATCATGATCAGTCTTAAAAACTCAAATTATTTTCACACAACCTACCTGAGGATTCATCTCCATTTGGAGTCTTGACATCTTCCGGAATGTTCTTGGTTGGGGAGATGTTCAGACTGAGGTTGGCCTTCTTCCTGTCCTTCTCCGTCTGACTGATGATACTGACGACTTCATATGCCGCCTCATCGCCATCAGTGCTCTCAACCTGATAATATGTATAAACATGGTACTAAAATCAAGCCATTACTACTATGAATTCATTTTATTTCCTAATATCTTTATTCTCTCTGGTGCTGACCCAGGATATGTATATTAGGTTATTTCCAGAATTAGTTTTTTTTTTTTACTTTTTTGTTTTGTTGTTCAATGCTTTACTAAGGGCTCTAGGTGCAAAGTTTCCTTTGAAATATCAAATGTTTTCCCATTTATACTGTATACAGGGTCCAATAAAACATTTCATAATCATTTCTGTGTGTTTCTCCACAAAAACTTAATTTTTTCTAAACGCATGATACAGAATAGCCCTGTCTTTTCAGTAAGCGGTTTCTTTTAATCACAAATTACACTATTTCATGATGATCACATAATTTACCTTGGATGATGCCTAACCATGATTCTTTTCTCCAAATATATCACCAGCTTTTCCTTTTTTTTTTCTTTTTATACAGAGTTATTAATAAAATTTGTCCCTACAGGACAATTACTTTCTATATCAATTATCATTTATTATGCAACTTAAGACTATATTTTCATTCATGATCACAAACCTCCTTAAGTTTCAAATGGAACTTCTCCTGAAGTGGCTTTTTGTTGATGTACCAGAAGCGTTCATTCTGGGGGAAGATTTTGGCCTTGGTTTCAATCACAAAGCGCACTGGTTCCCGTATACCAGCAATAACCAAATCTACAGCCACTGTCATGAATACACGAGTGTCTGTAAAACAAAAATTAATAGGATCATGTAAAAAGACATTATTTTCACATCAGTAGCTGAAAGATATGTTGCGCTACAAGAGATTTTCCCAGTTGCAGAAAATTGCCTATGTTGCCAAATCTTTCAATCTTTTCTTAAATTTAGATGTAGATACATTTGCTATAGATATTATATGATTCCACGCTATGTAATGATTAGTTTACAAATAAGACTTTCTACAAAACACTTCAGTCTAAACATTAGTTCCCCATTATCAAATGTTCCTTTGGGGATTCCTGCTGGGTAACAAAAATCAATGCTTATATGGACATCGTGTCAATATAATTGTTTTCAAGACAATAAAGCTCTCAGTTTGCCACACACACTTGCAAATCTATAGATTCCTAGTGCACACAAACCTTTGGGTGTCTCCGTATTTAGTATCCCAAATGCAGAGTCCTTGGGATCCCAATTACCAGAGATAATGTACACTTTGCCATCGTTACCCTGACCCATATGGACCTACAGTAAATCAATATTACAGTATTTGAACATACTCAAAGTTCAGTAAAAACTATCTCTGTGAAAATCTGAAAGAATGCACAGTGTCAAATAAAGACTAAGAAGACATCAAATTAAAATTAACAACTATGCCATAACATGACCCTGAAGTATGAAAAAATATCTTATTCAAATTAAGCCAATCTTACTTCACATATAATGAAACATTCCAATTGTCTTTCTTCTCTTCTTATTTTGTGTATTTCTAAACTTTAAGACTCTTACTATTCTCTGCATGAATGTCAGTGCTTCAATCAACAATTCCTTACCATGTCCAGTAGATGCATGTCACTGTGCTTTACATTGCGTCCTGGACTGATCAACATTCCAAAACATCTGCAAAAGACGAAATTCAAACATGAAAATAATGCTTGGCTACAATTAAAACAAACAATGTAATAACTTCAAATGTGTAATATTTCTTCAATAGGGGCATCAAAGATAAATCTAATGATTTCTAAAAATATTCCATAAGCAATATTACATGTTATTTTCTTATCAAATAACTTAACACCAACTATGATACTTTAATGTGCTAATTACAATCAACACTTCATAATTCTAGAAACATACTAGCAAGCAAAAAAATTGCTGGATGTAAAAATGTACTGACAAATACTCAAAATTTATCACAGCTTTTATTACCAAGGATGAGACTGCCATTTAGTGAAAAATCTGAAAAAATTTGCAAGGATCCAGGGGGCCACTTAAGTCATATTTCATATTTTGGACTCCCAAAAATCTGCTGATAGTCGGAAAAATTGAATCCCTGTCAGTCATTCTTTGCTAGTGGTGCACTGCAGGGGGGCCATAACAAGAATGTTATTTAAATTTAGATAGCCAACCAAATTCTCATGACATCGTTGTGTATGTTTCAATAACAAATCAAAGAAGCTGCATGAGCAAGGAGGATGCTGTTATAAAAGCAAAATAAGAGAAAAAGCAGAAAATATATCGAAATTACCCTCAAAATGGCGTCCTTTTTTGTGGAATTTCGACCCTACCTCTATTTAGGAACAGTTTGTTTAGGGTTTGAATGAATTATTGAAGCAGGGAATACACCTACTGCAAGAAGATATAATAAACAGAATGTGCAAATGGTTATTTAAATAAAAATTTATTTGAAGTGACTGAAAAATGATCACAAAATTAGCTTAACTTACGATACATGCGGTGTCCCACCCCGATGAAAATTTCATCTAATCCTATCTTTTTGTATTAAAACTGTTCAATCGTCCAAAGTAGTATGTCGGTTAGTTTGTGTCAAGAAATCCATGATAATATCAGTTTTCTTAAGAATTTCACATTTATTGCTCAGCAAGGTCAATTTTTCTTCACCGCGTCCCAATATAACGTTCGCAACGGTGAAACTTCAGAGATCGATTCTTATCAGACGACTTTAAAATGCCGCGTGAAAATTATACATCGATAGCGATCTTCTTCCATACTCACTAACTGATGACGTCTACACACGAATGGCTTCTTTTGCACACTAAAAAAACCAGCTCAAACTGGCGGGTGGTCCATTCTGATAACATATCACGCAATGACGCTGTCGAGATAGGATGCAGGGCACAGGTGTAATTCCCTTGATTTAACCGTCACAGGATTGTTTATTGGGATCTTCTTTGTATGAAGGTGAGAAATAATGAGTTTCGTTTCATTTTTCTTCAATTGTTTCAACATATTTGTGTACCGATTGATTTTTACCATTCTATAAGTAGGGTGACTTCGTCTGAACTTTCGTTTTGCGTCTGTGTCACATGGGGGACTTAAGGTCATATTGAACATGGTGAAGCGGTGATACCGTATTCATGTTCTCTTGTTCTCGAAAACTCAATCATCGAAATTGAATTACTTTTTTTAAGTTTTGTCTTAAATTAAGCGGCTACACTGTATTCCGTGCGTTTAAAATTTAACCGTCTGTAAAAACAGCAATA